TCGAATACTGTGTTCAGTTTTGGGCCCCCCACTACAAGAAGGACGTTGAGGTGCTGGAGCATGTCCAGAGAAGGGCAACGAGGCTGGTGAAGGGTCTGGAGAACAAGTCTTATGAGAAGCAGCTGAGGGAACTGGGATTGTTTAGCCTGGAGAGGAAGAGGCTCAGGGGAGACATCGCGCTCTACAACTACCTGAAAGGAGGTTGTAGCAAGGTGGGGGTCGGTCTCTTCTCCCAAGTAACAAGTGATAGGATGAGAGGAAATGGCCTCAAGTTGTGCCAGGGGAGGTTTAGACTGAACATGAGGAAAAATTTCTTTACTGAGTGTTTAAACATTGGAACAGGCTGGCCAGGGGAGTGGTTGAGTCACCATCCCTGGAGGTATTTAAAAGACGTGTAGATGAGGTGCTTAGGGACATGGTTTAGTGGGCATGGTGGTGTTGGGTTGACGGTTGGACTCGATCTTAGAGGTCTTTTCCAACCTTAATGATTCTATGATTCTATTAAATATAGAAATCACTAGTTAAAAAAATGCATCAGTTTGATGAATATTTTCTGAAGTCTGTTAGGAAGAATAATTTTCAGGTTTTTTCCCAAACTACAGGGGTAAAAATTATAAGCCTGGCCCAGTTTTTAGGTTCCTCTCACTTTGGGTTGTGCATAAAGCCTTGTCTTGTCTGGATCTCCATAAGGCTTTATCTGTAGCCATCTCAAATAGGATGGAGCATCAGTGCTTCAGAAATGAGCACACTTGCAGCTAATCTCCTTTGCCCTTTTTGGGAGGTCTTTACAAGCTGACCAAACAGCAGAGCTCTTTCAGACATCTTGGCAGATTACAGCCCAAAGAGGTGAAAAACCATTTGTGTGAGAACAGGGAAGCTGAGCAGAAATTTCCCATGACTTGTCTAGAGGCACTGGCTCCCCCGAGCCCTTTGACTTCACCAGGGCGCCACTGCTGCCAGGGAAGATGAAAGCGCTGTGCTCTGCACTATCTGATCACTCACATGGCAGCACTGGTGGTTAGCGCTTGGCAAAACCGCTCCTCTGACAGCGGTACTTAAAAAAGCTATTTTTAAGTAGTCCCCACAGCACTGCGTGGGGGGGGGCCCCAAGGGCTGGAGATGGATATACATGCTACCCGTGAGGAACTGGGTGCCTTCCTACTGTGTCTGCATCTCCAAGACTTTCCTCTTCCTCATGGGAAATCATCCCTAAGGCCCTTCACACCCCTTCCAGCATCAGCACCACAGGAGGGGATGCCCTAATTTCCATGGCCTTTCTCCACAGTGCAGTGGCAGGCAGCTGCCCTCCTGCCTTGGTGAGATCTGTATACCCACATCCAGCCCTCCCCTCCCACTCTCCACAAACCTTCCTTGTTCAAAGTCCTTTCCTTATCTGCATTTTTGGTCAGCTTTTCTCCCATCTCCCCCGGATCCCCTGCGTGAAGTGTCTGTTCTGGGCTCGTGTCCTCTGCTCACCAAGATGTTTCAGAGCTGATGCATGAGTCCCACAGGATGCTTCAAGTGCAAAACAATGTCTGAGATGGGTGTCTTCTGCCATAGTGTACCGCAGCATGGACCTCTGCATGTAAGACAGCAGAAGCCTTGAATATACGGAAACAGGCTGACACCAGAGCAGCCACAGAGCTACACACACCAACAGCCAACTCCTGATAGAGAAAGCTGCCCCAAACCAATAGCGCTGGTGGAGCTCTCTCTAAAGCACATGCAAAACTGCAGCAAAAACAAGCAGATGGGCTGGCATCACACTTCAGCATCAAGTACACAGAATTACTCTGTTAATCTTACACAATAGGATTACATATGCATCATCCTATTATCATTAAAGGGAACTGTATTTTAGTATGTGGTCCAAGGTTTTGCTGAGCATGCGCCACTGGTCTGGACACCCACCTTGGAGAACCATTGCTAAACCTGGACACAACACACCAAAGCACATCCCTGTCCTTCTCTCCTCCGCCTTCGACCATCTAGACCCAACACATCAACAGCCCCTCTTCTCCAGTGGGCAGGCTCTGCTCAGCCACAAGCCACTTTCTAAAGGAGCAGGAGTCAGAGGCTCCCACACAGCTACATGGAGCACTGGGGTTGAAGGGGAGGTGTGTTCCTGTTTTTAGTTTTAATTCCCTATTTCAGATGTGCCCAAAGGAGGAAAAAGAAAAGGCCCTTTTCCATTTCAGATACTAACATATTAAACAGCGTAACTGCTGATCATTTTGCTGGTTTTCAAATATTCAACTCCCCCACCAGCCTTCGCATATTACAAGCTAGGCCTAACCAGTCTAGACTTTCAGCCCAGTCTGCTGAAACCGTATTTAGTAACAGGGGATTGGGTTTGGCTGTTCAACAGGAAGACTTCTGAGTGCTTAAAAAGGGGCTAAAGATTTTGTCCTGGCACAAATGGAAGGTAACTCCAGTTCAGTGTTATCAAAGCATGATAAGAGAAGGAGTATCTCTGCACTAAAAGTGAACCTATGCTTGAGAGGTTGGCTTGGCCTTAGATTTCAGCTGTCCTGAAGACTACCATCCAAGGCCAAAATAATAGTAATCAGTCACTGCTGCATATCTGTACTTTGCACATGCACACAGAGCTACCCCGCGCTCCCACATCTCCCGAGAGAGGATGACTCCCATGTCTACACAAGATCCTGCTATCTCACCAGCCCACCCGAGGTCACACCCCAAGACACGTCTTTGTCCAGCGAGTAGAGGATTTCCACAGAGGAACAAGGAAGAAAAACAAAACTAAAAAAACCCCTTTGTTTAAAAAAAAAAGTTTTACAGGGGCAGACCTCCATGGCTGACCTGCTTTTTTGATCCTCTATTCTATACCTAAATCCCACCTAAGCAGAAGTCAAGCTGTCTCCAGCTTAGTTTCCTTCTTTCCCCATGAAAAGAGCAGCTGCCAAAGATGCCCAAGGCAATGTGCCACGCCCTTTCTTTTCCACTCACCTACCTCCAGCAGTACATTGCCACTTCTGCCAATGCTCCCCAGGCCCCATACCGCTCCATCTTGACATCCGTGCAAATTTTGGCTGCTCTCTGCCCTCTTTGGGGATGGAAATCCAGCAGCCCCCAGGTAGGCAGGCTGTTGGAGCTCCACCACCCCAGCCCAAGTGTTTCAGTTTGCAATGCTAAAGGTAGTACAACACTGGGAGGGAGAAGGTAATACAACACTGGAAGGAAGAAGTGTTCCCTGGCCAGAAAGGAAGAAAGGGTGGTGCATTTTCAGTATTAAAGATTCAGGTTTTAAGTGGAGGAGAGGAGGTTAGCATGTTTCCAGCAGAGGAGGAAGTGGAGAGCAACATCTGGCACTCTTGATGCCAGCAAGTTAAGGATTTGAAGAAGCAGCTATACAACGAGATCCTCCCAAACCTTCTTCACACATGAAAACAGGCATAAACCCAATCCTTATATTCGCACTCACCTCTAAAAATGCCCCCTACCAAGTTAGCTTTCCCATGCGCAAGAGAAAAGTGGGGGTCCCAGCATCACCACCTTCCCCAGTCACTGCAATGGCTCAGGCTGCCCAAGAGTCTTGCTTTGCATGATCAAAACCTTATGGTGTACACTAATTGTATGCCAAAGGGTAGCAGCATTCACACAATTATTGGACTAATCAGGCCAAAGCTGAAGCACAGAGCTCTATATTCTCTAGGAATATTCAATACGCGATATGGATCTTTTGGACTAGCTCATCATCCCAGGAGGCAGCTGCTGAAGGCTTGCAGCACTGTGATAAGGGGCAGGATGCCAGCAGGGAAGAGTGACAGAAAGGAAAAGTAGTGGCACCACCAACAAAAGCACTTCAGGCATGTTCAGCAGAGGTCAGCTGTGAAAGCAGCTGGCTAATTACTCTAACCTAGTACCACCAGCAATATCCCCAGAGGGTTTCTGGGGAAAACCCTAACCAAATTGAGCCCCAGCACACATCTTGTATTAATTTTATGCAACTCAGAATACTCACTCGATCTTAGACATGTATCTCTGGGGCATAACCAATACATATCAACATCTACAAGGGCTCCCATAAGAAGCAGAATGTTTTATTTTGCTTTAAAAGAGAAATACAGGATAGTTGTAAGGGCAATGGCAGAAAACCCTTCCTGTTTTCTTTACTGTCCTCCCAACTCTGCATGCAGCATGAGACAGACCCAGTGCAAACAGCAGTGCCTCTGAATGTATGTGGCCTCGTCACGCCCACAGAACCCATACTCTTGCTGTAGGCATGTGAAAGGGAAAAGAGGGGCAGGGAAAAGAAGAGAAAGAGTCATAGTCATCACCTTCATCTCCAGGTTCCTTCACCGTCCACAGTGGTTCCTGTCAAACCGTTCTAGGCAGAAGCAGATTGCCAGGTAAGATCTGTAGGAGATGCCACCACGAGGAGCATATCCATGCTCTGCACGCAATTCTTCATGCTACCATCTCCCTTTTAATCGAGTTCTTTAGCCTAGGGAAGAAATTAAGGGAAAGATGTTAGACAGCCACATGAGACTGATCAGAAACCACCAGACTGGGGACTACAACCACCAGCCAGGACCACACAGCAAGTCAGCAGTGACACAAACACCCAGAGGCTGCAGATGCTGCTGCACCCACACCACAGGCAAGGGTGTCCTGGGTAAGACCAATAACTGAGCCACCAACACCTTAAAACTCCTCAGTGTGCTCAAGCAACACCTCTGTGTGCTTGAGTAAAACAGCACACAGAGCTTTATTTTGAAGACAAAATCTGGTGAAGACCTGCTGGCTGCAGAACTCCCCCAGAGTCTAACGCCAGGAGGCAGGGTCAGGGAGAGCTGGTAATGCTGAGATCAGGGCAGAAGCGCTCACCCTCAACACTGGAATTCTGGGTCCCTAAGGAGGCCTCAGCAATGCAGCCTGTATAAACGCAAGTGCAAAGCCCCTCTTGCAGATCCCGCTCCCACTAGACCGTTAATAGCAAAACCCACCACCTACACTGATGCAACGGAGCAGTGATGTACTGCACTCACCCGATGACCCTTGCTGGAAACACAAAAGAGCCTTTACAGAACTTATTTTTCTAACCTCTCCCCTAATTCTAGAAGAAACTCAGTGTAACTGCAGCACATGCCCTAAAATCCTCTTAAATAAGATATTAATCACAAGACTGTTTAGCAAGTGAGAGCACACCGTCCCCTCGAAAAACACCACCTCCCATAATTATGAAGCCCTGGGCAAGTTTCCAGTGTATGTGCTTGGCCTGGCATATGTTTCACCCCCAAGTCGGGCAGCTCAGCTTTCTGCTCGCAGCAGGGAACCCAAGCACTCACAGCTTACGGAGAGGTCCTAACATGCTGATATCCCAAATTACTGCCAGCTTGAACCGTCCAAGGACCCTAACCCACTGCAGCACACCACAGCAGGGGAAGGAAAGCAGTGAGCAAAAGGTAAGCTTAGGCTTTACAAAGTTTGTGTGATGAGGAAAGGGAGGAAGATAGAAAAAAGGATAGAGGTAAAAAGCAAGAAAGGAGGAAGATAGAAAAAAGAAGAGGGGTACTGCTCAGTGCAAAGAGATGCCAGCATGCAATGTGTTGCTGAGGTCCCACCAGCACCAGCTGGTGCCAGTTCTTGACAGGTGAGAAATAATGAAACTAAAACAGCAGTTGAGGGTTAGGTCAAAGGGGAGAAAAACAAAGAGCTGGCTGCTAGACTAAAAAATATCATTCTTTGCTTCTCCTGGCTGGCAGTGTACCTCAGCATAGCTGCACCTTTGAGAGCCACCTCACCCAGCAAGGGGTCAGCCATTACAGCAAGCAATTAGAGCATGCCACCCTCAGGCAAGGAAATTTGGACAGGCAGACCACAGGACAGCTGTAATGCAGTACAGGAAGGCTGGATGAGTAATGGTGAGCCTGAGACCCAGTACATTTACAAGCCAGGCTAGTAAATCCCCAGCCAGCGAGCTCAGCAGAGCAGCAAGATCCCTTTGCTGCAGGCTGTGCTCACACCAGGCTTTGTGGCCTGCAGTAAGGGCACATTTAAGTTAGAGAAATGATGCAAACAGGAGAGAACAGGGATGCAGAGGAGCACAGGCAGTCAAGCAAGCCCTGCACACCGGTTGTCCAGCCATGCAGCATTTCTTCAGGGACATCACTTTTAAAAACATATGACAATCCACCTCTGGCTCCCCCCTCCCTGCCTGAGTCTGCCTTTATACGTGACTGAAAGTGAACCCAGAAATGCCATCAGAGGCGTGCAGCTTCTGCTGTGGCAGCGCCTGGGGCAGCCGCAGAGCTGGGAGAAGCAGCACAATGGCCAGCCTGCGACTGAGGGAGCTGCTCAGCTGTCTGCCCACTCCCTCCTACTAACAGGGAACGATGCTCAGAAATATTCACCGGCATCTCTGGGAGGTAAGAGGATTGAGGGGACATGCACCCCTCGCCACAGCAGGACAGCGAGATTGCCTGCTCAGGAGCACCTCTGGCAGCCCGGCTCCTTCCAGACATGCACAGAGCCCGTGCTGGGAGCCACCAGCTGCAGGATGAGCAGTGTCCCTCAGCAGAGCTCAAATCCTCAGCACTTGTCCTACAAGCTATGAGCACAAGAGTGATCAGGCCGCCCCCTTGTCTTCTGGTCAAGCCTGAGTTTGACAAATTCATCAACACAGCATTTCTACAGGGCAAGCATATGCACCACCAGGAATACTAGCAGAGAGTTACTCTAAGAGAAGATACCTTGGAAGATGCCAAGGATAAGTAAGGACCCAAAATTACCCCCTCACACACAACAATGTTGTAAAAATTACCATTAATTTATCATTAATTCTTCTTCCCTCCTCAGACAGAGGATCTGTATGGAAAGATACTGGAGGATGCTGAAGGTCTAGTACCAGCCCAGGTGAGTTTATCTGCCTGAAGGGAATTAATTAATACCCTAGTAACATCCAGGCTCCAGTGTGACAGGTATGTGCACTAACAGTCAGTAATCACAGACAGTGGGACCAGGAGGCGAGAGGAGGCAGCAAGCCTCCACTGTTGTTCAGCATCCCTCCCACTGCATTGCTACCATCCACTGATCACTCAAGTGGCAGAAGTCTGCGTGGTGGACTGAGGAGCCCAGCCCCTGGCAGAACAGCCTTCTCTCCCCACACATCACAAAACACCAAAAAAACAGACATTCTAATCCTGCACCTGATTTTGTCACAGCATACTTCCTTCATGTAGCACAAGCGCTCTCTGAATGACAGCACTGAAGCAAGGTTCTGCTTGTTTTTTTTTTCCACTGTTAAAAAAAAAGGTGTCATAAATAAGGCACAAAGGCCAGATAAAGTGCCATGAGAGAGGCAAATCAAAGCTGCCAGAGAAGTGATTCCTGCCTTGCTTCTGTTAGAGCTGCTACAAAACCAAACAAACATCTTAAACTTTTTACATCCTTTATGGCCAGACCCTTGCACAAGGTCAGACCCATGATCAAGTCTGCACAAGGGCTGAGTTCTCAGCACCAGAATTGCATTTCACAGACGTCAGAAATTATTAAGAGGAGTGAAGTCCTGGCAAACTCCCAGAAGAGCACCCAAAATTGTCTGGGTACCCTGTGCATGCCTCAGGTCCCCATCTTTACAGAGAGTCTTTCCAACAAACGCATTGCAAACTGCAGATGCTCAGACTTTTATGAGGAGCACCACAGAGAAGCATACTGGAGAACTTAGGTTTCTGTCTTTGGGGCAGGGTTTAAGTGCGTAATGAGTAAAGTACAGTCTCAAGCAGCAAAAAAAAAAAAAACAACCACAAATACACATTTGTTGTGCAAAATGAGCAAGGCAGCAACATGCTAAGAAGAAGCTGTGAAACCATGCAATCAGAAGCTATAGCACACACACAAGTCAAATCTGGGCTGTATAAGTAACTTAAATGCTATCCTGCTTTCTGAGAGCCTGGCTTTGCAATCCTTTCCTCCTGCTATTGAGGCCCAGGTTGACAGCTTAACAATTCCACAAGGACACAATAATACTTGATAAACCTGCCATTTCTACAATGTAAACTGTTGCATTTATATATAAATTTTTGGCATGGCTGATGCTACTAGAATACACCTCTGCTACAAAATGGAACCTTGTTATAAATAAATTATAATTAAAAAATTAAATCAAAGGCATGAACATAGTCTGAACTATAGGAATTCCATGAGTTGTATTCATTTTGATGGGACATAGCTTTGCTTGGTTTTGATGCCTTCAGCCTAACAAGCTACTGTTGACCCTGACTCAGTTCAATTGCTTCACAATACTGCAGGAAAAAGACTTCAGACATCAACCACTGCTGAAGCTAGAGGAGGAGAAGGCAGCAGTTTCCAGGGGAAATACAAAAGTCCCTCCACTTTCATTGAAGACACATTTCCCCTCTATTAAAGCAGCTTCTAGGACAAGCCTAGGGCTACTGCACACTGCTGCAATTAATTCCAAGTACACACATAATTTGTCCAGTTTATGCTTAGGCGGTCCAAGCTCACTTCAGAGCAACAGGTCTTTGCAAACACTGGACAAATTCAACAGCACTGCAGAAGACACAGAAGCCCAAACACCATCCCTTCTGCAGAAGAGCGGCTCAGCGGCCAAGAAAGCAGAAAGCAGTGAAGGCACTAAGGTGGTACCTTTGGCAGGGATCTGGGGATGATGCAATCACCGCTGCCAGACCTCAACCTCTTCTACCCAGAAACAGGGTTACAGCCCTCAAAGGGCAGGAACTGAAAATCCAGTTACTGATTGCTATCTTGGCCATACGCCTGGGGAAACGCATGCCCAAGTTGTGACATTATCAGGATATGCTAGCGAAGAAATCCCCTGCTATCACACCACCTTCCCATCAACAGAGCTAGAAACTCGTCTATTGAAAGGCAAGTTCAAGCAGGACTTTGTTTCCCACACTTCACCAGGGGACAGTGCAGTAACAGAAACACAGCCAACTTACACAACAGTCATGGTTCAAGCAGGAGCTACATCATGGCCATGAAGAAAGATTACCTGTGCAAGTTATGGCTAATCCAATCTCTTCCACCCAGCAGCAGCCTCACACAGGCAATACCCCAGCAGGATCCTTTTTTCACACCTACCAGCTTCGCAGAAGTTTCTCACCACTTTCCCCAGACAAGGTACTGCAAGCACGAACATTTCCATTTCAAACCCATCTTGCTCAAGATAAACTCAACTTCCTTGATCCTCCTACCTAAACTGGAGCTGAAGAACTGCTCTTTTTCCAGTGAGCAATATCAAAGTAGCTTCTCCCCAGGCTTTTTTTAAGGCAGTAGTTTTTGTAACTCATCTGCTCTGAACCATCTTCTTTTTGACACAAACACACAGCTAATAGTGTCTTGGTAACCACTATAAAAATTTTCGTTAGAACTACTGATAACACCAACAGCTAAATTCAGTTTGGGGAAAAATAATAAGTGTAACTAGAGGAAAGAGAGGCAGAACATA